TCTTATTGTCTACATCAATAGACGAAGAAGCCAGCTTTGTCCTTTCAGGCCCACCGCTAGCAATTCCGATGCTCTTGGTGATGTTTGCAATTTGGAGAACTTGGACAAGACACGCGGGTTTGTGCGTCGTTTTCAGTTCAAAATATAATAAATATTACATTGTATTCGTAGGGCACTTTTCTGTAAGGAAAGACTAAAAACTTCCTACTTTTAGAAACCTAAGCTGACAGTCAGTGAAAAAAAACACCCTACTGTTACCTTCCATGAGTATGAGGCTAAGAACTGCAAGGCCCAGAGGAGCACATGAATGCCAGCCTCATCGTGGCTGTGGGACCTTTCCTTGCAGGCCTTAGGAAACTCTCCAGCAGAAAACTGTGTGCTAGATAAAGCATTAGAAACATTTTTTTTTTAAAAGGCATCAGTGTGCCGAGTGAGCAAGTTAGTAAGACATATACAAGGGTCCAAAAACAAAGTGAAAAGGGAAGCCAGCAAGGTACGTGAACACTGGAGTCTCATTCAGCTGGAGTACTTGCTTAACTTAGCAACATTAACTTCAGATTTGGGGCAGCAAGCTTACAGGAAGAAGGGGAAAAGCCCTTTCCTAAATAGGGAGGGCTTCATTGGAATCTCCACGTCCCCATAAAATTCATTAAGGAGAGAACTAGAAATAATCCACCTTATCCCCTCCTTCCCCCAGAGAACACAGAGAAAACTGCCTATTTCAAAACTTGCTATGAGGAGGGAGTAAAATCTCCCCGAAGATGTAACGTCCCCATGTTAGCTTTCCCGTGGATGTTCAGGCCCCTCTCCCTGAGTGGTGTGAAACTCTTAAACCCAGGACTTAGTTTAAAGAGGCTGTGAGCCAGCAGTGCTTCTGGCAAAGACCAGTTGGCCTCTAATAAAACTCTCACAGATAAGAGTTCCACAAGCTCAGTCAAAGCCCGCAAAGCACAAGAGAAACGGGGTCGTCACAGCTATAGCCCTCAGAGACATCCTGAGCAGAAGCCCACCATAGAGTTCAGATACTGGAATCAGATATGGAATAGAAAATAGGTTCAGTGTGCTTAACGAATTGAACGTATTAATAAAGAGCAGGAAATTATTTTTAAAAAAATTTGTCTAAAGCAGAACTAGAAAATTTAACAGACATTAAAACTCAGTGTAAGGGTTTAACAGCAGACTTAAAGCAAGTGAAGACAGAATTAGTGGTTGGAAGATATATTTGAATAAATTATTTAGAATCCAATGCTGAGAGGCAAAAAGTTGAGGCAATGTCTGTAAGAAAAGAAAATGGCCAAGAATCTCCAGAGCTGATCAAAGAGGCCAATCCACACACCTATAAAACAAATACCAGGTAGGATTAAAGCTAAAAGTTAACACCTAGCACATTATATGAAACTACAGAAAATCAACAATGCCAAGACAAGAGTATTAATTAGTCATATTTTTCAAGAACAAAGATAAATTTTTTTCAGACAGACAAAACTAAGAGTTAGCTACCCAGGGTCTTTCACCAAAAGAAATTTTAAAAGATGTACTTTAGGCAAAAGAAAATTGAGATGATCTAAGAGTCAAGAAGAAATAATGAACAAAAAAAGTGGGAAGGTGGGAATCTAGCATCACTACAGACAACAGGGACCAGCCTCAGAAAGACAACGTGCACTGAAAAGTAGGTGCACAGGAATGAACAGGGGTGATTCCACTCATACCGCTTGGAGATACGAGCGTATGTGTGAAATCGCGGCAAAAAGCCAGGTGTGACCGTCACAAACGGGCACCCTGAGAGGGGGGCTAAGATGAGCGGGGAAGAGGGGCACACACAGGTAACGGTAGTGCTGTCAGTCAAGCCTCATGGTTCGTACTCACATGTACGTACATGAACACTCAGTCATTCCTTGGACTTTCCAAGCATCTTATAAATATCCTTCGTATCTACTTGAATAGTGCATAAAAATACATTTTTTGTTGTTGTTGTTTTGTTTTTTTTTTTTTTGCGGTACGCGGGCCTCTCACTGTCGTGGCCTCTCCCGTTGCGGAGCACAGGCTCCGGACACGCAGGCTCAGCGGCCATGGCTCACGGGCCCAGCCGCTCCGCAGCATGTGGGATCTTCCCAGACCAGGGCACGAACCCGTGTCCCCTGCGTCGGCAGGCGGACTCTCAACCACTGCGCCACCAGGGAAGCCCCATAAAAATAAATTTTTTAAAACCCTACACCCTTCAGAGGTGGCAACAGTCAAAAGGAAATGAGATGTCCAAATACAGACAATTCTATACCATAATTCAGCATATATCCATAGGTGTACTGACATTTTCTAAATTTAAAAAGAGAAAAAAGGCCACTGGAGAACAATGCTTAATTATATGCAACTGTTTATTTAAAATAATTTTCCAAGTTTTCCCATAAATTAACAGGTTTTGCTTCACTTTTGTCCTCTCAAACAGCTGGAAACCAACACTTACACATTTTGTATTTTAACTACTATGTATGCTATTTTAATGACATTTTTCTTTATTAGTACTAGAACCAGATATATGGACCAATAAGCAGTACAGATTTAAACGATATTCCTGGTAGTTATGGTGTTGCTGGCAGTTTCTCGGGCTTTATCAGATCCTGGATGCTATTTCAAGCCATCTCCAAGCAGCAATCTGACTGAGGGGGGGAAGTCGTCGTGCTCCCTCCCTAGGCCTACTTTCTCTCCGCAAAACAGATAATTACCCTGCTGTAAAATCCCATGAATACACTGCTCATCATTTTCAATTACTTCATCTTTATTTGCTACCTCTCCACCTATAAAGCATAATTATCCACACTCAAATATAACATGATTCATTAAAAAATAAACACCCAAAATATTCTTAATCATTCTAATATATTCCCATTAATAGATAAAAGGGCTTTCGCTTAAAATTTCATATTTTATTTCTACTTCTTTATTTAAAGTCAATAGTAAAGTCACAACTGTGAAATAAATGCATTTAAAACACAAAAGATACATTTCAATGACAAAAAACAGGCAATGATTATGAAAACCTACTGTACATTTTGCCAAAGCCAACAGAATGAAAGCTGATATGAAAAACTCCACCTTCAAATATATCCTTAACAAAAGCGTCCCTCACGAATAGTTAACACCACGATTTAAGAAAATCGTCGTGTTGACCTTGCCCCGAAAACAACAAAGCTGGTGGGGGGGGGCGGCTAGATCAAAAATATGTGGGCACCAGGAACTCAAAATTAAACTTCTAAAATGGACACTGATTTCAAAATAAAAGGAACATTTCTAACGTGACAATTGTATGAAACTATTTTTTTTTTCCTTTCTTAACAATAACAGCTTAGTAATCGCCTAAGAAAAATTGTGGAAATACCCCCAACGCCCAAGCCCAGTCAATGGTAAAAAACGAAGAGCTTCCACGAAATTATCTTTCACATTACTAAAATATCCTGATTTACCTGGGATAATTCATGCTTAGACTATTTCAAACAGTTGTTTTTAGATGTGTGGAATTACCAGAGCTGAGATTTTTTTAAACCATTCACCTAACGGCTGAATCTTTGCAGAGACATAATAATCCTTCCACCACACACCGACTGCGTTTCCTCAAGCATACTTGTTCAACAGTTCTAACAGTGATGCTGGTGGCGATAAGCGATACTCTCAAATTTTTCCTTTTAAAAAATATATAATCCATGGAACACTAAATAGTAAATATGCTACACTGTATACTTTCTTACACAAGGCATGACTCTTCAGGCCCTAGTAGGAAGAAAAGAGACACACTAATAACGGCATTTACCACCTGTTTCACTACTGACATTCAAATAATGAATACAGTAGTATGGGATATTAAGCAAAAAAATGAAAATCACTGTTACTTTACCACAAGAAACAAGGACAAAATAAAAACATGGGAAGAAGTTAAATGAGCCCAGTGTAGGTCCCAAAGATTACACTCTGATTCCGAATTTTCAAAGAAAAGGTCATCTACATATAATTTCTGTGAATACTTCCTATGCTACAAAGATGAATTTCAAAGCAAATGCAGGCTGGCGCAGCCCTGCTTGTCAAGGATGAACCTGCCAATGAACCAGGAGTTCCCTTTGCTAAAGTGCACCTGTGACCAGCCCACTCAGGCCGATTCACCGATGAGCCATCAACAGTCGCGTAGAACAACGGACTCTCTTAAAGCAAATACTTTATACAGTGGACTACAGGGAAAACCGTCCTAAATATACTGTCTTCTAAAACTTCAGAGTAGGATAACCTCATCATTTTTAAATACTGAAAATGTAAAGGGTCCACCCAAGCTAAGAGTTGTATTAAGTATATACGTTTTACTTGAATATCCACTTGACGTGCTCCTAAAATCTCTATGAGAGAAGCAGATGTTTTCCCCATGTCTTTTGGCAACAGATTCAAGAGCAAGAGTAGCAGTGCTGTTGAACTCCCCGAAAGGAGGCTTTTTAAAGCTACGTTACTCCGTATCTGCATCGTTATTGCACTCATACATTGCCCGGAACAGACCTACAGCAACTCGGCAATAGTGACTGCAACACACAAAGCTTCTGATTTCCTTGTTAGATAAAGGTTTCACGGAGGAAATGCAAATGGCTGCAATTGGAATCAGACGACATATGCTTCCTGATTATTTCACCTTATGGAAAATTAAATCTAACCCTCACCACTGCTAGTCTGTGAGGAACCAGATGGGGGTCTGAAGGACCCAGTCTTGACTCTACTGTTACATTCCACTCTTGAAGTCGCTCCAAGTTAAAACAGCAATTTTAACAAGATTTAAAGAAAAATATATTTTATAAAAGGGATCCTTTTTAATCACAGAATACATCATTTTTATTACCAAGACAGAAACAAGTTATACTTTTTTCACTAAAAATTCACTCTGATGAAAGAAAGAATTCTCTCGACTTCTAACAAATGCTACATTTTCAGGACTAAAGGAATTATCAGTAGGCCTTCGTGCTTCCTGCTCCAGGTCACTTCTCCCTGAAGTACGTCAAGTACGCTTTCAGAGCCTCGGGCAGGGGCAGCCTCATGATCTTCTCCCTCAGCAGGTTTTGGGGCGGCGTCTCCCGCTCGCGGGCGGCCCCGCGGCCCGGCCCCGCCCCCGCGCTAATATCCTCTTCCATCTTCTCCTCTTCCTCGCTGTCCAGAGGCTGAGGGATGAGCTGATTCCCCACAAAGACGTAAGTGTTAATCCTCTGCTTGACCCTCTTCCTTTTCCTTTTGGGCGGAGCCCTCTGAGGAACGCCCTTGGCCTGCAGCTCATCGTTTATGAAATTCCTAAGTGTGCGTCGAATGTAAATACGAGCCAAGTCCTGCAGATTCCTGACAGCACAGGGGGCTAAAAACACACGAAAAACATAAAAAGTAAAACGTTATATACTGTTCACTTCTTGGTGAATATTAGGAGACAGCACATAAAAAACTCTGACGTTCGTCTAACACAGATTTTAGGAAGGGCGCCTACTATGAGCCAGACCACTGCAGTACTGAGGACGGCGGACGGCACCGGGGTCTGTGTGTACAGACGTGTGCGTGTCCCCGGGTATGAGCATAAACCCTCTCGGGGAGGATAAATAACTTACAACAGCTGCAGCACATGTGAATTAAGTAGTTAGGGGACAAGAATAGAAGAGCTTTACCCTCTACACATTTTCTGTACTTTCTGATGTTGAAAAGCACGTGAAGGACCTGTTTAAAAACCTCAAATGAAGGCACTGTTTGAACAGCTGCCTCAGTCTGGGCTCTGAACTATTACACGCATGCACACGCAGTTTCCATCTTTCTGTAAATCAACAGGCAGAACTGGTTCACAGGTAAAGGGCCCCCAGAAATCATGGCGCACACTTTAGCAGCCCCCCCAAACACCACAGACCTAAGCTGCTGACGCTCGCTTCTATCGAGCGCGTGGGGAGAGTCGGAACAGGCCCGGTCTGCTTCACTCCTGCCTCCCACCGGCGTGCAGGTGTTAAGACCTAGCGCCACACGCCCCTCTTGGTGGCCTCCTCCAGTGCTTTGCACCCAGACAAAGAAAATTCTCGGGTCCCCACCTGAAATTCGTTTTTCCTAGTTTCCACCCCTGTGGGAATAAAACCCTTATCAAGGATTCTTCTCAAATACCTAACAAAACAAAACACAGCCCTCCTCAGTTCAACAGCACGAGAAAGCCTTCATCACTTTTCCCCTTACTTTTGGTACTTTTTCTTAGCTACCTCCTTCCCAACCTTCCTGTGATCATGTCAGTTATCCGAATGTGTATGTGGCCGCCGGTCTTTGCCCTCAGCTGTGAGCCCTTGGGGGCGGGGGGGGGGGGG